TGTTTCAAGCTTAGATTTCACTGAGCGAAGATGATTGCTGCACTCAAGTAAGTGATCGATCTCTTTCTCTCTACTGCGATTCTTCTGATTTCTTCGTTTTCGCTTTAGGTTTCATGGATACGAATCGCTTCTCGTTTTTTTTTCCCGATGATCTTTTGTTTGGGTTGGCTCGGAATCATAGAGCTGAATCTCTTCTCGTTTTTGTTTTTTCCGATGATGTTTTGATTGGACTGGTTCGGAATTATAGAGCTGAAGAAGCGAGCCAGATGCAGCTCGTTGAGCGTGAAGAGATGGATGAAGACGACGATCTGTTTGAAGCGATTGACAAATGTAAGATCTAAAAATCGTTTTCCGATTGTTTCTAGAAGCTTCGGTTGCTGCTCGTTTTTTTCTTTTTTTTCCAAATTTCTCGTGACGTTTCTTCAGTTTTCGTTCAATAGATTCATGTTCAGTTTGGGAAATTGTCTCTCCGTGTTTTCTCTTCGATTTTGCGCAGTTTGATCTAAACTTCGTTACTGCTGGATTTCTGGGTTCAACGATTTCGGATCTATAATCGTGACTCTAATCTGTATCATATTCTCGAAATTTTAGTTAGATTCTCGGCTTAAGTATGAATAAGGAGACTTCTGAGCATAGTTTATGGTCAAGTTTTAATCTACACCTATTTCGTGTACTGATGATGATTGTGAAATTCGAGTGTATTTTTGGTCGTTTGAGTTCTGTATCTGGCACAAACATCTAACTGATTTGTTCCTGTGGATTCTATGTTCTTGTCCCAGTGATCGCCCAAGGTATAAACGCTGGAGATGTGAAAAAACTACAGGATGCTGGGATCCATACCTGCAATGGTCTGATGATGCATACCAAGAAGGTATAGAGCAGCTTGTTTAGCATGATCCATTTGGTTTATGCTATCTACATTTTGGTTGCATGAATCTATTGCTTGAATTGACGCAGAACCTCACTGGAATCAAAGGTTTATCTGAGGCCAAAGTTGACAAAATCTGTGAAGCAGCTGAGAAAATTGTGGTGAGTTTAAAGTTTTCTAACTGTTGGTTGCTACATCAATGGCTTATATTAAACTTCAGCATTTTCTCAATTGTAAATGTCACAACATTTCTTCTTCAGAATTTTGGATACATGACTGGAAGTGATGCTCTTCTAAAGGTTAGATTCATTGATTTTTACTAAGATCTAGATGTATGTCTTCCAACTAAGTCCTGTTGCTTGTTCCCATTAAGGGATTCGTGAAAATTTAATGGTGATAGTCAACATTTCATATTGGATACTGAAACCTACGAGTTGTTTTGTTTATAGAGAAAATCAGTTGTGAAGATCACTACAGGTTGCCAAGCTCTTGACGATCTCTTAGGAGGTATACAACCTTTTGCTTTTACTGTTTGTCATCTTGATCACACTACACTTAAAAATCTGGTTTGATTTCTCTACAATGCTTGGTAGGTGGAATTGAAACCTCAGCCATCACAGAGGCTTTTGGGGAGTTTAGGTGAGAGCAGAGCCCCTCTCTTTAATTTTCCTGCTAATTAGCAATTGCTTGTATTCTAATTGAGTTTGTTTTCACTTCAGGTCTGGGAAAACTCAATTAGCACATACCCTTTGTGTCACTACGCAGGTTGGTTTCTTTCCTATTGTCTCATTATGAATTAAGTATAATGGTGTATAGTTTACCTGTCAGAGGCATGGAATTCTTGCAGCATATAAACATTGAGGTTCTCTGTCTCTCCCTGCCACTGGTATTCATTTCTGTATTTATGTTATGCAGCTGCCTACAAACATGAAAGGAGGGAATGGAAAAGTAGCTTACATTGACACAGAGGGAACCTTGTATCCTTGATATCTTAGAGCAAATTTTCAGACCAGATCGTGTAGCTCCACTACATGGTTTATATTTCATGATTTTTCCTTAACCCCTGAATCTGTAGCCGCCCTGATCGTATTGTCCCAATTGCTGAGAGATTTGGAATGGATCCAGGAGCTGTGCTTGACAATGTAAGCATTATTAAGCTCACGTCACTCAGGAATGCAAATGATATTCACAATTCGTTTCATCTGGATGTAACAGATCATATATGCTCGTGCGTACACCTATGAGCATCAGTACAACTTGCTTCTTGGCTTGGCTGCAAAGATGTCTGAGGAACCATTTAGGATTCTGGTAAAAATCCATGTCTGGTTATTTTCGTTTGGTAAAAATCCATGTCTGGTTAATTTGGCTGAGCTTACCATGTTCTTAGATTGTTGACTCGGTGATTGCTTTATTCCGAGTTGATTTCACTGGAAGAGGAGAACTCGCAGACCGTCAGGTTACCTTTGCCTCCCACTACTTAACACAGTTATTACCAAAATCCAGCTTGCTCAAAAAGATGAGTTTCTGTGTTGCAGCAAAAACTAGCTCAAATGCTCTCAAGGCTAATCAAAATCGCAGAGGAATTCAATGTTGCTGTCTACATGACCAACCAAGGTACATAACAACACCTAAAAGGGAATAAATGACATGAGAATCACTTCTTTTGGTGTCACTAACTTATAAGTATGATCGTCTTTTCATTTTGGTGGTTGTAGTCATTGCTGATCCAGGCGGTGGAATGTTCATATCAGATCCAAAGAAGCCAGCAGGTGGACATGTTCTTGCTCACGCAGCTACCATCAGGCTTAGCTTCAGGAAAGGCAAAGGCGAGCAACGTGTCTGCAAAGTCTTCGACGCCCCAAACCTCCGTGAAGCCGAAGCAATATCCTTTTAACACAATTATTTCACTGAAACCCACTTGATTGATTGATTTCGATTATTCATCCAAAGTAATGCATGACTTGTTTCCTTAACAGAAGAAAGCACACTTTCCAGATTACTCCAGGAGGCATTGCAGATGCAAAAGATTAGAGAGGAGCTCTACTACAGATTATGTCTGTCTGTTTTTCACCTGCTTGTTTCTACTTTTTATTACCCACAGGATTTTACAAGGGTGATTATATTTACTCGTGACTGATATGTATATGCACTGAATCAAACGTTTATTATTATTAGCTTCCTGTTTCCAAATACAGCTTTAAGAAGGTTCTTAAATCCCCATCATTAGTTCTTGAAATGGCTAGGTGAAGAGTAAAATGATCAAATCACAGATCCGTGGAACACAGCCACAGAGTTCAACAAAGTCAAACAAAGGTATAAAAATCTCAAACATTTAGCCTCAGATTTGTTGAGACCAATTCTGGACACTCCCGACCCTTGGCATTGCGCCTTCTTTCTTGGCCTCGGAATCCACTTTGAAAGTTACACCGCACACCTGACCCGAACTGTCCACCCTTGGTACTGGCTTTAGCTCATTTAACGGATACTCATAGCTCCTCAATCCTCCAGATGAGGTAAAGAAACATCCTGCATAATGCATATACAACCCACATCCCCTAGTTCATATTTGCACTTGATCCAAGAATAATCATAATTTGTAAATGATCAGAGCGTACCTTTAGGGAATGGCGCAAAGGATTTACCACAACCTTTCTTCACGGTTTCCACATCATCAGAAAGAACAAGATGGCCTTCAGCATCTGTTCCCCAGAAGAGAGGAACACTCCCTTCTACATCCTGCACCGTGTGCATATTACACCTTAGTTTATGCAAAACTAACTCAAATGTGGAAGAAGCAGGATGAAACTCACCCCGGCAAGGAAGACATTTTTCGTGGAGCAGTCAAAGAGCATGAACGCGAATTTCCCATGAAAATCTCTAACAACTTGGTCTGCAGAGTATGGACCACGGTCCCTGAGGGTTCTATACGCTTCAATCACAACAGTGACCTCGGTTGCTGTTTTGGTTAGTCCATATTGCTGCTTAAGAAAGGGAATGTTCTCTATATGTCCTTGGAAGATGCAGAACATATCATCCGTCACAGCAAACAATCTGTCAAACAAAAGCAATTTCAACAAAAAAAACAATCAACATTATCCCCAACAAGATCATGAACAATAATATCACATTCTTTAGCTATAGATCAATGACTCGTTCACTCAACGAACCAAACAGAAAATGAAGATCAATTCCATGTTGAAATATTCCAAAACGATCCAACATAACCCAAAAGTAGACAGCAAAATCTATCATATTCAGACAAAACTAAATAACTAAGAGAAACAAATCCGTGAATGCTTCGAAAACACAAGCCAATACCCAGAATTACCCACTAATCATCTCATCGCCATATTCACTATTTTTTTCTTGGAAACAAAACATCATCGTGAACAATAATCCAATTTTTGTAAGAAAATGCAAAAAAAAATACCTGGGAAGAAGAGGGTTCTGCTTGTCGAGAGAGCAAGCGATGAGACCAGAAGATCCGAAATTGATTTTAATGGCGGAAGGATAAATGGAGGAGAAATGGTTAAGCAAAAACTCATCTTTAAGAGCAGAAACCGATCCACCTTCTGGATTCTCTAGAGCCTCAGGGCTCTTTGCCACGTTTTTGTCGAAAATCGCCAACATTTTTCTTTCTTCCCGATCGATCACACACAGTAGAAACAGAGCCAGAGATCAAAAGTATAGAGAAAGTGACTTTAGAATCGTTGAACAGGCACTTACATATATTCCCTACTACTTATTTATAAACACATGGCAAATTGCAATAGGGATTTCGTTTCTTTGGAAAGGAATATTGAAATATTCGGTTCTTTCTTTTCCTCCTAAGTTTTTCAAGATATTTGTATACAAGAATATATTATTTTAACATTTGTTTTTTTCTCTCCTCGCACATAATAATGCTAAATCCCTCCGCTTATAACAAGACCGATCAAATTAAGTAATGGTATTTGAGCGATTCTTGGGATGATAATGGAGTTTTAAGGCTTATAAAAAACGAAATCAATAGAGAGGAGGCAAGATCCATGAATCAGAATATAAGATTTATCAAGTTCTTCATGTTAAAAACATAAGTAAACTGAAGCCAAATAAAATTGTAGAAACCGAAAACAAAAAAAAGGGGGTCTTTCGCTATTAAGGTCTTTAATTTAACTAAACATTTTTTTATGATTGTGTTCACCAATTCAACATAAAAAAAAAAGACAACCTTGCTTGGTTCTGTTATGTTCAAACTCTGTTGTATGCAACCGACTTGCTGAAGAGCTTACGGATGTAGAGAACCTGAAGCCCACTTGCCGCTGCAAGGAAAATGTACTCTCCTACTGTGTAGAATATCACTCGCTTTCTCGTGCTCTCGTTAGCTGCACCAAAGTTTCAATAACAAAAATCCATCAGACAGAGGAATGTTAGATCGTAAACGTTGCATCTTACAAAGACAAATACAGATTTCCTACGAGCGCATTCAAAGTATCTATTTTCGAGAAACATGTTTCTTCTTCGATTCATTTGTTATACAGCATGTAACCAAGTTACTCGTGTGAGGTTGGAACTGAAAAGCGTTAAAACAGAAACAAAAGAGTATAAGATCAATGGTGGAAGCTTACTATGACGGTGACGGGTATCACGTGCTTTCAAATACTTCTGCTCAGCAACAACAGATTCCAAAGCCTCTCTCAGCTCAGCTATCTTAACATTAACCGGGTCCAAATGTTCTGAATAACATACAAGAAAAGAGGAACATGGCATCAAGAAGTAGCTAACACAAAACCTAGTAGCATCTCAGTGCACCAGATATAGAAATCACAAGTAGCAAAGAAGCAATGCCATGGTTATGACAAAAAACATATATTCAATTGCAGCAAGGGAATTAGGAACAAACCGTCTTTAGCTAAGTCATGCTCATTGGGGATATGACCAACATGAATGTAAAAGGAGACAGTTTCAGGAGTAGAATAAGGATTGTGGAAACAAAATTTGTACATTCCACTTCTTGGTGCCTTAAACTCAAACTTATCTCCAGATGTTCCCTTCAATGTTTGTACAATATTCCCAGCAGGAGACGTCACCTATACAACAATAACCCAATCATCAACAACATTACCCTAACAAAATCGCAAATCCAAACCAATCAAACCCTAAACTGAAACATCCTTTCAAAGATCATATCAGGGCAAAATCAAGCATGAGAATTCACGAATACAGACACCAGAAACCAAAATCGAACTTCACGAAATATGTTACATCAAAAACATTGGGATTACCGAAGGAAATGATGCATCGGGATAAGAAAATCGGCTCTCACCGTGAAATCCAAACCGGGATGATCTGATCCCCAGAAGATATCGTGGTCGACGACGACGAAGTTACCGGAGACAGTATCGCCTTCGTAAAGGACATACTCTTGGACACATTCGTCTTCGTTCACGGTCACCGAGAGCGACGAGATTCGCTCGATCGAACTCAATAGTATCAGACCGATCAACACAAAGACATGGATCTTCGCTTGCCTTCTCTCCATCTTTCTAGATCTTAATTCTCTCTTCTTCGATCAAAATTTTCCGTTTTTGTTTCTCGAGAAAATTCGCGGAGTTGAAGAAGAAGACAAAGAGGATTTTTATTGCGCTTAGCTGAAGACTAAACCAGAAACCAAAACCGGTTTATGACGAAACGGTGAGATTTGGAGCTGGTCAACGGTTTTTTGTTCTTTAAAGAC